ATGTAGCTTTGAGTAGAAATAAAAGAAAACGAGAATGACCACGAAAAGCAACAGAAGCTTTGTTAATTGACTAACTGTTCAAATAATTTTTTTACTTGTACAGTTTTGTATTGTTACTTAACAAAAATTATATCTTTACTTGTCAATTCATAATATTTTGTCTAGAAAATTAAACTTTTTCAATGAGAATTTAATGAAAATACTTAGCAAAAATTCGTCTGTTTCTCAAGCTTCAGAATGAGGCAAAATACACTTTCTCGCATAAGCAGTAAAAATGAAACTTTAACAAAAATTTTAATTATAGAGAAATATGAATTTAATTGAGCACTCAATATATTTATTAAACATACGACTTATTTATTGAGCATCGAAAATTAACTTAGCATTTATATAGTAGTTTTACTTAGCACTTTAATCAGATGCAATGCAAAAGTCTTTGCACAAATGTTCAGTTATATTTTGAATGGATAAATACGTGTTAAGTTGAACAGTTTTTGATTAACTGATAGATCATTCTTTCTTCTTTTCGAACGATATATGACTATTTCTCACTAGTTGTTGAAACAGAAATGACATGTGACGAAAGAGAGGCACTATCACGACGCATTTGCAACTTTTATTGCAAATCTTTTCATAAATCTGTAAAAACTACAGTAAATTATGTTATAAAACAAAATATTTCACGAAGAAGCATTTATTATATAATGAATCAGTATTGAAAATGTATAACTACAAAAGATGAGTTAAACAAGCTATTCGTCAAGACACGTATCTGAATGAATGTATTAACAAAAGACTTCTTCCTTTCATTGAAAAATATCATCAGAATGTAAATCATCTCTTCAGACCTGATTTGGCCAATGCTCATTATTTCAAATCTGTGCAAGAACATTTGAACGAGAAAAATGTACCATTTGTTATTTGTAAAGACAAACTCTCAGAGATACCATAAGCTCGTCCAATCGAAACAGTTTGGATTCTATTCGAACGAAAAATGTATGAGAACAATTGAGAAACAAAAAGCTTGAATGTGTTAACGCGAAGAATCAAAAGAATTTGATCTAAAAATATTGTATTGAGGGTGTTCGAAAAATGCTTCGAGCTATATGATGAAGAAAACTGTATTCTGTTTTAGGCACAAAGTTTTTTGTAGTATTTTTCGTGTTCTTTCTAATGAAAAAAAAGAATACGTTCTTTAGCTTGTAAAATGGTTGAACTGTAAAGTTCGACCTTTGTGCAAAGACTTTTGTTAAATGCCATTACATATTGATCAACGAAATATTTTACGTTTAGTGGTTGGAAACATATATTACTGATCTATCGTCGAAGACGATTACAAAAGAAAATAAATTAATAACAACAACATTTGGCTACTCTCTACCAATATGGCCACGAAAAATATCAAACAATGTGTTTGATCAATGGCCACTACCAATACCGAGAAAAAATTTACAAGAAAATATGTCTTTAGGAATGTTATGTCGTAGATTAATCTGGCATTTACTAAATCCAAATCAAAATCTACCAGATTCATTGCTTCCAAAAATATCTACTCCTTCGAAACAAATTCAACAAAAACAAAAAACAATGATTTTCGATCGATCAATAAATTTAGAAGAATTTACTGTTGTATGGTTCAATGCAGATACTAACTCAACTAATGAAGATCAAAGAATGTCTCGCATACAATTACGTGGAATCATTGATTATGTTCAATATTTTCATGAGTTGAATAAATGCAATGAATATATACAACAAATGAAAGATACTAAGATCTTTCTCATTGTTTCTACGGAATATGCACAAAATATTCTTGAATATGTATGTAATCTTCAACAAGTACATTCTATCTATATTTATAGTAGCTTAACAAACGATACAAAATTGACAAAAAATGTTGACAAGGTAAGCCATAGAATATGAACTTTTTGTATTAGAGTTTTCGATATTTCTTTTTAGCAAGACTAAAGATGCATAAATACGAAGAAACAAGTTCAATCACATTGACAAATATAAGAGGAAATCGTAGTTTTAAAGAATATTTATAGAATGCGTTCGGCTGCATTTCTAGGATTGCCAGATCTTCTGAAATGACAGGAAAAATTCTCAATTGAGATTGTTTTTCGGATTTCATTATTGTAATTTAGTAAAATATGATAAATAGCACACCAACTCTTTTCTTCTGTAATAACTGCTTACTGTACTGTGTTGAAGTTAATTTGGAAAAAAATCATAGAAATCATTGATTCTCTTCTGGACAGACTAAATTTTCGGCTTAAAAGAAGAGAGTGTTTTGCTGAATGGTCGTTAAGTTTTAGATTGGATTATTTTTAATTATGAATGGTGAAGAAGATAAATCAGATTTGAGTGTCAACATAGTTGAAGAAGAATAAGAAATGATATCTTCAATAATTTCTATAGCTACATTAACAACAACTAAAATAGCAATTGGTTCAAAATTTTCAAAAACAAAGTCATTTTAAAGAAAGGGATCAGTTGAATATGCAATAATATTCCTCCTGATTAGAAGTTGTTAAAAAAAAGACCAAACACCAGCTCGATGCAAAGCATGTTTATAATCGTTTAGTGTTCGATGTGATGTTAAAACCGACTCTTAAAAACCATATGAATAGTGCTTTTCATAAAACATATATATCATCTTTTTCCAAAAAGTCGATGACTGTCCACCATGTACCTAAAATTAATGAACGACAGTTGAAATAAATAATGCATATTTGTATTTTATGGAAGTGTTTTCAATTATATATATAGTACTTATATACTTTTTTTTCGAATATCTATATTTTCTAGAAAATAATTGATCTTATTAGTGATATGACATTTGAATATTTTTTTTAATGAATAAATTGTACAAAAGTAAATTATACATAATGTAGACAATATTCTTTCAACATAAATACCGGATGGGGCAAAAGTTTTGTGTTAATTTTGTTTTTGATATAATTCTACAACACAATGTCATATGACAGTTGACTTTTTATTGTTAGAAAGAGTTAAGTTTGTAGTGCGAAAATGTATAAAAGAGTTTAATTGAAAATGGTTTTAAGATGTCCAAACAAGGCTTAGAATAAAGGGGCCCGAAAAACTTATTTGCAACTTTGGTCATATGTTTTTTAGTCCAAAAATATTTGTTTGACATTTTTCATTACCCACTTTCGAGCATCATCTATATATAGTTGTTCACTACAACGAATGCTTTTATTTAGTATTAAAATAATTTATGTAGTATACAGGAAAGAGAACAAAAGACAATCTGTTTAAAAAAAGTCAATTTGTCGAGTTCGGTTTGTGAAAGCAAAAAAAAAACTTTTTCTAAATATCTCACAGAGTAGTGTGTATCTTATTCCAAATAATATTGTTTGATAGAGAACTCAACGAACATTCTTTTTCAAATAAAATATATAGATTCTGGCAATGTATCTTCAGGAACAGAGTTTAATTTTTCTACTGATGTTTCGACGATTTAGACAATGTCATCATAGCATTGATTTCGACCTTTATGCAACTTTTAAAAAGTTTCTTTTTCTTTTACAATACTACTGCTCCATTCTCAAATAATAAAATCTGGGTTAGACAAATAAAAGTATAACCTGTCGAATTATAAAAAAAATTTTCTAAATTTAAAAAGTTTCGGATGAGTTTTTCGAGGCCTTATATTCTAAGCCTTGTTTGGATATCTAAAAACCATTTCCAGTTAAACTCTTTTATACATTTTCGCACTAGACACTTTACTCTTTCTAACAAAAAAAAAAGTCAACTGTCTACCACATTGCATTGTAGAATTATATCAAAAATAAAATTAATGCAAAACTTTTACCCCACTCGTTACGATCAATTTATTATCATAAATGTTAAAAACTTCCCAGTGAAAAATTTCAGAGATTTTCAATCGGATTTTTCTGCTACAAAATTAAAATCGATTGATAATCTTGATTATTTTTGACTATGACTTAACTAATATTTATTCTTGTTACTTATCCACTATGAAATTTTTTGATTAGAATCGGTTTATTTCGCAGTAAAATCAAAATTATCAATCTATTAATAATTTCGATTGTGTGACAGAATAATTCGATTTTTACCAGAAAATTTAGTACTGGATAAGTAATAATAACAAATATTACTTAATTCATAGTCAAAAAGCTTGTCAGCGTAGCCCCATTGGGGCTGAAATGTTGAACTCACATATCTCCTTTGGTTTCATTAAACTAATGACAAAATACCCAATATTTAAAATCTCCAAAATATAAGAATTTTTTTTCTAAACATAATCGATAATTAGAAAATACTATGTTTCTATCTCTAAGTTTCGAACGGAAATGTATTTGACAGCAAGTGGCGAAGGTATGTAACGGGGGGGTGGGGGAGGGGGGGAGCCGCGAACCTCGAACTGAAAACTTACACTCACTATTTTCTTCGAAAACATACGTGAGTTCCACAAAATAATCAAGATTATCAATCGATTTTAATTTTGATTTTGTTGCAGAAAAATCGCTAAAATTTTTCACTGGGTTGGTCTTAGATTTTTCCGAGTTTCTTCAAATTGTCAGAATTTTTCTATAAAAAAATCCAATTTCTAAATTTTTCATCTGGCTATCCTGTGTTTTTCATTTTTCTCTCTATGAAAATAACAAAAATGATTCGAAATAAATCATGATCGAAAGTTAATTCCAAGTTTCAATTGGTCGAATAGAAAATCTTTTAATTCGTAGGTTTACTGTAACTTTCTTTCTTTATCTATTTAGATAAAAGGAATTTACACAAATTTCAATCAATTAACTACAGATTTATCAAAAGATGTCAAGGCATTGTCAAGACTTTCTCGAATGTTACCTCAACGTTCAGAAGAAACCACAGATGACGCTTTATTAATAGCAAAACTTCTTAATGTTTTACAACTTCTTAATTATGACATAAAAAATCAAAAAAAAAGAATTAGTAAATAAATTAAGAATTTATTATGAAGGTAATTCAATAACACAAGATCTTTTAAATGAATTTGAACAAACATATGAATCAAATCGTGCTATTTGGTGGTATACAAGAGATTGTTTTCTTTATCGAATGCTCAATAGAGCATTACGACAACAAAATATTAAAGCAATATTTCTCTTTGGATTTTTCATTGTTGATTTATTTAAACAAATAAAACAAATCAATCAATTCTATTTTAATTCATCATCAATACGAGTTTATCGAGGACAGTTAATGTTTCAAAAAGAAGTTAAGCGAATACTGTCAAGTATTGCTGGTGGATTAGATAGAGAAGGTAGTTGTTATGGTCCATTGGATGTATGTGTCAATACATTTTTTTCAGCTACTCGAAATCGTGATGTTGCTTTGATGTTTGCCGGTCAAGAATCATCCATATTTTTTAATAATGATTTACAATCAGTTATATTTGAAATAAAAGTTAATCTGACACAAAATGAAACACAATATGCTGATATAAGTACAATGAGTGTTATTGATGATGAAGAAGAATTTTTATTCTTAGCTGGTTGTGTATTTCAAATGACTAGTATACATTATGATTATAATGACAAAATTTGGATTATTAAAATGAATGCACTAAATAATCATGATCGACGTTTAAGACTTGGTTTAAATGAATCGCAGAGTACTGGCATTGAGTTAATTGGTATTGGCAATGCACTATTCTATCGTGGAAATAAGGAAAAAGGAAAGAGATGGGATATTGACATGAAAGCTATAATACATAATATATACTATAATCTTATATTACGACAATTAGATCCAAATGATATACATGTACCAGCATGTTTTGCTGGTCTAGCTAATATATACAGTATAGATAACCCTGATTTGGCTTTTGAATATAAAACGAAAGCACTTGTTATGTATGAAAATCATTTTCCCAATCAACATAATGATGTAATTGCATACATCTATAGTCTATTTGGTGATATTTTTTGGTTTGATGATGAATATGATCTAGCACTTTATTATTATAAAAAATATCTATCATACGATGTATCTTATCGTATTATAAAAAATATTTCACTTATTTGGGATGATCCAGCCATACAGATTGCATATATTTATAAAATAATGAATAATTTCGAATGGGCATGGAAAGCATTTAAAACATTTATCACACCAAATATGATTCAATCAGATCCTGATTATGTATGTTCATGTTACGAAAAACTTTCATTAACAAATCAAATCAAAGCTAATTATGATGTAAGATTAGAAAGTCAGAAAAAATTTATTGATTTTACTATGAATACAAATGATATAATTATTTATTATTCTCCTATAGCTGAAGCATATTATAAACTTGGAGATAATTGTACAAAAGAATTAAATAATTTTGCAATTGAATGTTTTGAAAAATGTTTAGAAATACGCATTAAATATGACAAAATTTCTTGTCAACTTAAACCTCAATATGAATCTGGAACTATAAAAAATTGTATTCAAGAAATAACAAATCTATATAAGAAAAATGGTGAATTGAATTTAATAATTCAATTTTATGAAAGAATACTTTATTTATGTACAATTTATCAATCAGAAAATATCAATAAAATTGCGTTTATTTATGAATTTTGTGCTAATTTTTATTTCGAACAAAATAATTTTCATTTAACAATGGATTATTATAAAAAAGCGATTAAATTGATAAATAATCAAGGTAAAATTCATTTCGAACATGATTTAAGTTCTTCATGTCAACTTCTTATACGTTGTTACACCAATCTTGCTGAGATTTATGAAAAACAAGACCAATATCTATTAGCAATTGAATCATATCAGAATATAATTAATATATATATGCATAATCCATTAAAAGAATGTATTCAAATGATTATTTATTTTAGTAAACGTGTAGCTAATATTTATAAAAAACAAAATGAATTTCATTTAGCAATCGAATGTTATCAAAAAGCGATCGAATATTTTTTAAATGATAAACATATTTTCTTTAACTCTATACAAGATTGGTTAAATTATAAAACTAATAGCTTTCCATATAAATATAGACTTCAATATTATAAAGAATATGCTAATATCTATGAAAAAAATGGTCATTATGATTTAGCTATTGAATATTTAGACAAAACTATTGAATATTTATTTAAATTTGAACATATATATGTTTTTAAAGATATTGCAAATTGTTATCAAAATATTGCATCGATTTATACAATGAATAAAGATTTTGTTTTAGCAATTCAATATTATAAACTTGCATTATCTATTTATAAACGATACGAACCAGATTTACATTTATTTTATAGATGGATACCTCTAAATGAGACATATGACATAATATATTGTCCTCATTTTAAAGATAAACTAACATTATCATTATCTGATCACACTATGAGCTACAAAAGATATAGTATTAGAGATATTAGTGATGTTTATAAAGATATTGCAATTCTTTATGAACAATATAATGATATGGAAATGTCAAATCATTGGCATAATAAAACAAAAGATATATCGATGATATCGACTGATGAAATTATTCATTCAATGATTTATTGTTACAGACAAATGGCTAATCTTTATGCTGAAATTGACGATTATACTTCTGCTATTCAATGTTATCAAATAATTATTCCAGAATATCTTTCCAAAATTACTAGTAGAGGTAGAAAGATAACAAAAATATTTCCGTTTTAATGCAATACAATTGTCAATGATTGTTGAAGTATAAAGCGACAAAGTCAGACTTCTCCATTTGTCCAATAGACATGCCGACATATTATTTTGAGTTTTAAAATTTACTTGTATAATTCATCACAAATGAGAAAGAAGGAGTGAAAGTTTTGCACAGTAGCTACATAGAAATAAACAACAAGACGCTTCAGTGTCTATTCATTCAACTGTCTAATATGTATGAGATACTTTAATATCTATCACATGCAAGCGTTTAAAAAAAAAGACATTTCTAATGTCTGACTAATGTCTAGAATATACTTTAGATGCATCTACCTTCGTCTAAGACGGATAGTATTTTTTAGAGTATATTAAGTTTTCATGAAGTCTTATTTACAACAACTTTCTAAAGAGTACATCTAATATATGCATCCTAAATGATTCAACTTTGCCAATTTGCAGAAAAGATCTAATTAAATTGAACTGACAATTACCGTTGAGCATTCCATTATACAGCTATTAATTTACGCTGATTTTAAATGTTTAAGTCTAGTGCAGTGTTTTATCTGACTAGATTTCGAATATATGATTTCCAAGACTAGAAAAATAGAAGTGCCATGGAACTGACAGTTATAGTTTTTCAGACATTTTGGTTAAATTTCTACTTAAGTTTCTGTTCAGATACTAAAGTCAAAAGCGTCTAAACGTACCTATAATACAATAGAATTTGTTTGATATACTAATTTATTTTATTCATGTTATTTACCGTCATTGAATACAATGAGTGCAAATCTATTGATCATACAATTTAATATGAACTTCTCATATAATTGGCAAGATAATCAATAATGTCATTGTACGTTTTGTGGTGATTTTTGCTATTTACAATGAAAATTTGCATGTTATTATTTTATTAGGGAAACAATCATTGTTTTCATTTTCAATAATATGTTTATTTGTTTATGTTTAGAATTCATATATTTGATCGAAGATATTGCAAATATTTATATGAAACAAGGGAAATACATTATGGCACAGAATGTATATCAATATGCAATTAGATGCTATAGACATATATTATGTATGAATAATATACGGAATCAATTTAATCATATTATGTGGTGTTACGATAAAATTGCATTTATTCTGGAGAAATTGAATGACGTTAAACCTAAACGAAATAGCGAAGGTTTTCTATCTGGAACGAATTCAATTATTTCTCCTATTACATTTTCCGATGGTAGACAATTGAGTATTGAGTACTGTAGCTTATTTGAAAATTATGATAAATCATTATTTCGATGTAGTTGCAACACATAAATGAATTGGAGAAGCTAAGCGAAAATTTTAATATATTCAAGAAATATTTTAATTCTAAAGGACAAATAAATTCTCGTGTGCTCATAGAGTATTTATAAAGATCGTTTACATGACTTTGTTATGTGTAACAAGAATACTATATGTTCGATTTGTAATAAAATTTTATTATTCTTTATTTTCTATGCAACACTTCAATCTCGTTCTTCGATAGCTTCTCATTGACCGTAAACAATGTCTTCTACATATACTGTGCGATGTGTGGAAACTCTTCTAGTATATTGAAGACTTCTGTAGTTTTGAAGCATTTATTTTGAGAAAAAAATGATTACAAAATTATTGTTTGTCAAAAAAATAAATCATGGACTTGGTCAATTTTCACAATAAATCTTATGGAAATTCTTTAATATAATAAAAAGTTTTCCCGTAACACAAATTCGAAAAATACGAAGAATTACGAAACACCCACACGATTCGAAAATGTTCTTTCAACACCTATTTCTAATGTCCATTTCAGAGATAAATGCCCGTGAGTATTTTTCGAATAACTTTTGATAGGAATAAGATAGAGGCCTGCGGTTTTCACCGTTGGAAAGAAGAAATAAAAGTGCATCGAATCATACACAGAAAGATTTTTCTAACAGCTTTTCTGAAGGTTTTACATAAAATTTCAAGAAAAACTGCACGCCTCTCCTGATAGCGATATTAGCTTATTGATTTTCAGGAGTTTGCTAGAAGCGCCAGACGGAGAGCTACAAAAAACTATGGAACGATTCCATATTTGACTACTACTAATAAGATAGTCTAGCTAATGAAGTGAAATTCATCACCGAGTTTTTCAACAAAGGGTGTGGGTGTGAGGGTGTGGATGTGGGTGTGAGTGTGGGTGTGGGTGTTGGGTGTAAGTATGGGTGTAGGTGTGAGTGTGAGTGTGAGTGTGGGTGTGTAGGTGTGTGAGGGTGGGGGTGGGTTTGGGTGTGGGTGTGTGGGTGTGAGGGTGTTGGGTGTGAGGGTGTGGATGTGGGTGTTGGTGGGGTGTGTGGGTGTGCGTGTGGAATTCGGCATGCTTATTATTTTTTTGAACATCCACACTGACAAACACAACCACCGGCACCCACATTTACACCCACACCCACACCCACACCCCACCCACACCCACACCCACCCACATCCACACCCACACCCACACCCACACTCACACCCACATCC